ATTCAACTATTCACAGACACTTTTTTTTGTGAAACATTAATGACCTTACTCACAATGTAACCACACTCTTCCCATCTTTTCTTTATGATTCTCATTTTCATTAATCCTGCTACTCTACTCTTTCCTGCATTCATGGCTTTATCCTTGAGCAAATACTCCTCTTTTGGCCTTATGTGATTGATTATTCTAAAGCATTAGTACCATTATGACTAGAAAGAGTCTAGCAGTATAGTGTGTAATGTGTCAGGCTGCTAACCAAAATGTTGGCAGCTTGAATCTATAGGGGGGAAATGAGTGGTCTCCTCTTGTAAAGATTTTTTTAAACCTTATTGTAGTCTTCAATGTGGATTAAAGCTCAACATCAAGAAAACAAAGATTCTCATCACTGGACAAATCGGCAGCTTCAGCTGCTTGGTTCCACAATCAACACTCTTGGCATCAGCAGTCAGGAAATCAAAAGATGAATGTCATTGGAAAAGTCTGCTGTCATGGGCCTCTCTAGAGTACTGAAGAGCAATGATGTCAGTATGGAGACTATTTTGGGCCTGATGCAGCCTATGGTCTTTGCAGTTAATTGCTGTACACGGGAGAAGTGGACAATAACTAAAATTGATAGAAGAATTGATGCCTTGGAGTTGTGATTCTGGAGAAAAGTGTTGATTGTGGACTGGCAGGAGAACAAACAAGTCTGTCTTGGAGAAGGTGAAACCAAGTTGCTCCCTGGAGGCAAGGATTTTGAAGCTCTGTCTCACATACTTTGGGCATATAGGCAGGAAGAATGAGTCCTTGGAGGGCATCATGCTTGGAAGGATGGATGGACGGAGCAGGAGAGGAAGACCCAGGATGAGATGGACTGATTCAGTGACTGGAGAAATGGTATTAAATCTGTCAGAGATGATAATATTGGCTCAGGATAGGGCTAGCTTCAGAGCTGTTGTACATAGGGTCACTATGAGTCACAGGTGATTCAATGGCACAACAAGAACAACAACAAACATTCTAAGCTTGGTCCCAGTTTGTCTCATGTGAAATTTATGGGTTTTGGGCATGTCTCTGATCCACCTTGAGTTGATTTTTGTGTATGTTATGAGATGTGGATTCTGTTTCAGCTTTCTGCAGACAGCAGTCCAGTTTTGCCAGAACCTTTTGTTGAAGAGATTGTAGTTTCTCCATTTGATAGGCTTTATTTCCTTGTCAAATATCAGTTGACCTTAGATAGATAGGTTCATTTCTGGGCTCTTGATTCTGTTCCAATAGTCTATGTGAGTGTCATTGTACAAGTACCATGCTCTTTTGATTATTACCACTGTGTAGTAGGCTTTGGGGTCAGAAAGTGCAATGCCTCCCACTTCCTTTTTGTTTTTCAGAAGTGCTTTGCTTATTCGGGGTCCCTTTCCTCTCCAAAGAAACTTGACAATTTTCTTTTTGATCTTCTTAAAAAATGAATTTGTTATCTGTATTGAGATTGTGTTGAACATGAAGATTGCATTTTGTAGGATTGTAATTTTTACTATATTGAGTATTCCTATCTATAAACAGGGAACATTTCCCCATTTATTTATTTTATTGTTTCTCACAGAAGTGTTCTGTAGTTTTATTTGTACAGGTCTTTTGTGTCTCTAGTTTGGTTCATTCTCAAGTATTTATATTTGTGGTTAGCTGTTGTAAATGGTTTTGCTTTTGTGGTTTCCTTCTCTGAGTTCTTTTTGTTACTGTAGAGAAATCCCATTGACTTTTGTATATTAATCTTATATCCTGCCACCTTACTAAATTTGTTGACTAGCTCTAACAATATTTTTGTTGAGTTCTTAGGGGTTTCTGTGTACACTATTATGTCATCTGCATATAGCTACAGTTTTACCATCTCTTTGCCTTTCAGGATGCTTTTTATTTCCTTCTCTTGTTGTATTGCCTTAACAAATATTTTCAATACAATATTGAATAGAAGTAGTGATGGTGGGCATCCTTGTTTGGTCCTTGTTTGTAAGGAAAATGCTTTTAGTTTTTCTCCATTGAGAATTATATTGGCTCTTGATTTTGCATATATACTGTTCACTATGCTAAGGAAATTCCCTTCTGTTCCAATTTTGCTGAGTGTCTTAATCAGGAAGGGGTGTTAGCTTTTATCAAATGCCTTTTCTGCATCAGTTGCTAGGATCATATAATTCTTATTCACTTTGTTAATGTGGTGAATTACATTGATTGTTTTTCTTATGTTGAACCATCCTTGTATATCTGCTATGTTGGTAATGATGAATTGTTTCTTTAAATGTGCTTTTGGATTCTATTGGCTAGGGTGTTAAGGATTTTTGCATTTATGTTTATGAGATATATTGGTCTATAGTTTACTTTTTTTTTGTAATATCTTTGCCTGGTTTTGGTGTTAGGCTTATTCTTGCTTCATAGAATCTCTCTTTCTTCTATTTTTTGAAGTAATTGAAATAGAATTGGTAATAATTATTCTCTGAATGTTTACTAGAATTCAGCTGTGAAGTCATCTGGTCTGAAACTTTTTTCATGGGAAAAGCTTTATGACATACTCAATATCTTCTTTTGTGATGGGTTTGTTCAAGGGTTCTACATCTGTCCATATCAATGTGGATAGAGAATGAATTTTAAGGAATTTTTCTATTTCCTCTATGTTTTAATTTTTTAATATAGTTTTAAATAATATTCCGATATTATATATTTAATTTCCTCCAGCTCTGTTGTGTACATCCTACTTTATTGAATAGTGACCAGGGTCTAAAAGCTTGAGAATAGCCGTTAATACTGCAACCATTAATATCTCACTGTCCAGAAAAAGGAAGAGGGAAGAAAAGTAGTCATGTACAGAAACAATTAGTCCAAAGGACTAATGGTCATATGAAACCCAATTTCCATGACTGTGAAATAAGAACTAGATGGTGATAATACTTTTTCTACAGATGCAATCCATTTGATTTCTCTGTATTTTTCCATGAGGCCAATATATATTATTACCATCTATATTCTTGAAAACATGTGTTTTCAATGAATAATCACTGGTCTTCAAAAATTCTACCTTTATATCTCCAGTACAGTTTCTATCACCAGGGACACACTTTCCAAATATAAATTTGTTCTTTGTTTCCCATGTTCACATTCTTATTACTAATAATTATTTGTGCATTTTTATCCATTAGTAAATTTCAGATACAGGAGTTGAGAAAAATATCTTCAATTATTTTATCTCTGACAGTAGTGGTTGGTGAGAAAATCTGAATAATAGTTGTATTAACTTGTCTTCCTTGTAGTCAGATAGCCATTATTACTGATAGCACTACACTTCTGGATAGATCTTGAAATGCTATTATTTTTTTTATTATAAGTGGGACACTATTCTTCAGTATGTAATTTCTGGCATAGTAGACTGCATGATGGTAAGATCCAAAATAGTCAATGCTAGCCCTCTTCAGTTCATTAATGCCAGGATCTACTACTTGTCTGTCAGTTTGTTGTACCCTGGTGACTTCCAAGTTGCTATGATGCCAGAAACTATGCCACCAATATTTTAATGCCATCAGGGTCACTTGTGGTGGAAAGATATCAGCAAAGTTTCCAGACTAAGAAAGACTAGGAAGCAAGATCACCCATGATGGATAGGTTTCAGTAGTTTTCCAGACTAAAATAGGTTAGGAAAACGAATTTGTTCATTTACTTCTACAAAATTAGCAAGTGAGAACTATAGAGGTCTGGTGACATAGTCTGTAGCAAGTTGTGCTGCTAACTCAAATGCCCTGTCTCTCTGGTGGTTTGGATCCATCAGATGCACAATCTCTCCCTGTGTGATTTTCAGCTTAGAAAACTTACTGGCAGTTACTAGTGGGTTCTGACTCAATGGAAAAGAGGTTTTGAGTTAGTGAGAATTTTAGGGGTAGCAGAAAACATTGTCTGTTATGGTGCTGAAAGAATGGCCCCTAGAGCTCAAAGACACTGACAATATAACTGGGGTAGAACTGCCTTCTCAAAGTAGAGTAACTTCAGTGACAGGGATGGAGTAAAATGTTACTTATTTGCTGATGTGGCACAACTCAAAATGAGAAAAAAGAGTGCTGCAGAAATACCCATTAAGCTTTAGATCGTGGAATGTATAAACTAAGAAGGTAGGAAAATTTTAAGTTTTAAAAAAAGAAATAAAATGAATAAAGATTCAAATCCTAGGCATTAACCCACTGTCAGGGTGCCACTCATGGTGACTGTCAGGTTTTCAAGGCTGTAAATCTTAGCGAGAAGAAACTGCTTCATCTTCCACAGAGCAGAGAGGGATTTGAACTCCCCATCTTTCCATTAGTCCAACACTTAACCTATTAATTTCCATTAATCCAACACTTAACCTACTATACCCCTTCTCAACTCTTTGCTACTCATTCAAAACCAATTTATAGCTGACCCTCCACTGGATTTCTGAAGTTGTCAATCACATTGTGAGACTGACTGTTTTTCTCCTGTGAAGGCCATTGGTGACTGTGAACTACCAAAGAGATGTGGCCTTTAGGTTAGCAGCTCAATTTACGCCAGAGTATACATCAGAGATCCTTGCCATAGCACCAAATATCTTTATCTCAAGCATTTTTTTGTGTAGACGTCACCTCACAGTGACTCTAGGAACATCAGAATAAAACCTTTCCCAATCCTTTGCCACCCTCACAATCTGTGCTGTTTCATTGTTGCAGTCACTGTGTCAGCATATTTTAGGGAAGGTCGTCCTCTTCCACTCTTTTCCTGACTCTTTCATTTCCCAAGCATATGGTGTCTTTTTCCAGGGACTGATTCCTCCTGATAACCTACTCAAAGCATGTGATATGAAGTGTCACTATGCTTGTTTCTTTCTTTCTTTTTTTTTTTTGCCATGCCATGAGGTGGGTTTTATTTTCATTAATCATACAAATAATTTTCTAGAATAGCCCAGGGCAAACCGGAGACTTCGGTGGTCCCTTCAGAGACCCGCAGGCCGGTGGCAGGGCGCGGCGTGCCCGGGTTCACAGTGCAGCTCGTCGCTCGTGCCCATCCTGCAGGTGGCTCTTCCTCCACATCACGACTAGGGTGTCGCACATGACGAGGGCGGAGACCACTGCAGGATCCCAGGACATCTCACTTCGCTTCTCCTGCTCGATGGTCTCTTTGGTCGGCAGGGTATTCTTCTGTGTCTCGGTCTTCTTCAGCTTGGCCTTATCGAAGCTGGCGATTTCCCCCATGTCAGGCTTGTGTGCCATTTTCGTGAAACAATCCGCGGGTCCCCGTCCAGCCGATGCCCTGGCGCACACACTCCTGTTGCTGCAGCGAGAGACAATGCTTGTTTCTTAGAAATAACCTTTTTTTGTGTGTGTGTGTGTGTATTTTGTACTTCTTCCAAAACAGATATCCTTAATTGATAAGAAGTGTAGAAAAATATGTTCCCAATGTAAAACTTCATAAAAAAATTCTTATTATTTTTCAATTTTTATGATTTAGTAGTTTATTTTCCCTGTAACATTTTATGTTGTAGTATTGGAAAAGAGTACTGAATACTATATGTACTGCCAAACTCCCCAAATAACTATGTCTGGGAGAAAGCATAACTAGCGTGCATCTTGGAAGCAGGGATGTTGTTGTTGGCTTCATCTCATGTTGTTGTTATGTGCCGTCGAGTCGCTTGCGACTCATAGCAACCCTATGTACAATAGCCCTAAACTCTGATCTGTCCTGTGCCAATTGCATCGTCTCCGATAGACCCATCCCGATTACCCCAGTCAATGAATCAAACCGCCTCATAGAGGAACTTCCCCTCCTGCGCTGTCCCTTCACCCTCCCAAGCATGATGTCCCTCTCCAAGGACCAGTCTCTCCTTACAGCATGTCCAAAGAATGTTAGATGGAGCCTCAAAATCCTTGCCTACAAGGAGCCGCCTGGTTTAACCCTTTCTAGGATGAATTTGTTTGTTTTCCTAAAGTCCATGGTACTCTCAATACTCTTCTCCAGCACCACAGCCTAAAGGCATCAATTCTCCTTCTATCCTCCTTAGTCATTGTCCAACTCTCTGAAGCATAACAAATGATAGCAAAGACCATGGCCTGTATCAGATGCACCTTATTCTCCAGAGAGACACCATTACTTTTCAGTACTTTGGAGAGGTCCTTAACAGCAGACTTTCCCACGGCAATGTTGTTGTTGTTAAGTGCTGTGGAGTCTCAGGCGACTCATAGCGACCCTATGAAGGAGAGTCCTTGATGCTTGGGTGCCTTTCATCCTCTCTCCAAGTTCATAGAGTTTCCAGAGGCAAGCTATTATGGAAATGGACGCCACTCCTCCTTCCACGCTTGTTCAATGGGAGAGCTCCACCCCACTCTCAGTCCACATTGGGTAGCCAACCATTAACGCATTTGACACATCCGTGTCACAGTGTTCAGCCTCACAGCAACCACAAGTGACCGTGGGATGGGAACTTGTACACCAGGGCTATAAGACCTAGAGGAATGTTGGAACAAAAACAATGAAAGACTGGCCTGAGGGCCGCGAACTAAAAGTCACCCACCTTTGTCTTGGTCACATCATTTTCTCTTCGCTGGGCCAGCTGATATCTCTCTCTTTCTCTCTCTCTCTCTCTCTCTCTCTCTCTCTCTCTCTCTCTCTCTCTCTCTCTCTCTCTCTCTCTCTCTCTCTCTCTCTCTCTCTCTCTCTCTGTTGATGTTATTGTTAAGTGCCTTCGAGTTGCAGGTGACTCATAGCGACCCTATGAAGGAGAGTCCTTGACGCTTGAGTGCCTTTCATCCTCTCTCCAAATTCATAGGGTTTCCGGAAGCAAGCTATTATGGAAGTGGACGCTACTCCTTCCACGCTTGTTCAATCGGGGAGCTCCACCCCACTCTCAGTCCGTATTGGGTAGCTAACCATTAATACATTTGACACATCCATGTCACAGTGTTCAGCCTCACAGCAACCACAAGTGACCGTGGGACGGGAACTTGTACACCAGGGCTATAAGACCTAGAGGAATGTCTGAACAAAAACAATGAAAGACTTTTGGGTTTGAAGCCGCTCCGCCTTCAACCCAAGGCCAAGCGTGGCTTCCCTGGCTCCTGGAGGCAGAGTTGCCTTTCTCCAGAGACTGCCACAACACAACACAACTCCCACATACACAGCACCATCCTCTCTGGCCAAAGGATCTCATGGCAATACGTCTTTTAATTTCCTGGCTACTGGTGCCAAGAGTGTAGACTGTGGAGCCAAGCCAACTAAAGCTGTGAACAATCTCAATCCCTTCACCATCCATCCTGATGCTGCCAATTGGTCCAGTGGTGAGAATCTTTGTCTTCTTGACATTGAGCCTCAATCCCATGTTGTTGTTGTTGTCATGTGCCATCGAGTTGTTTGCGATTCATAGTAGAATCTTGCTTGCATATGAAATCAATGATACTGTTCTGTAGTTTCCACACTCTGTTGGGTCACCCTTCTTTGGAATGAGAACAAAAATTTTGCTGAAGATTATTAAAAAAATAGCTTGAATAGTACAATAGCAGAGAACTGCCAGAAACTTAAGCTGGATTTTGAAGAGGCCATGGCACCAGTTATATAATTGTTGATGTCAGATGGATGTTGGTTGAACGCTGAGAATACCAGAATGAGGATTACCTATGTTTTATTGATTATGCAAAGGTATTTGACTGTATGGATCATAACAAATTATGGTTAACCTTTAGAGGAATGGGAACCCCAGAACACTACATTGTGCTCATTTGAAATCTACACCTAGACCAAGAAGAATAAAACAAGGGAATACCTGCTCTGTTTGTATGATTCAAAATCAAGAATTAGGATTATGTCTTTTTTTCTATATCTATTCAATCTACATATTGAGCAAGTGATTAAAAAAGCTGGACTATATGAAGTCAAATATAATGTCAGGATCAGAGAAAGGCTCATAAACAACCTGAGTTATGAAGAAAATATACTCTTGCTGAAAGTGAAGAGAATTTGAAACACTTGCAGAATATCAAAGACTACAGCCTTCAATACAGATTACATTTTAACGTCATGAAAACAAAAATTCTTACCACTGGACCAATAGACAACAACTTCTTGATAGATGAAGGGAAAAGTTGACATTATTAATGATTTAATCTTTCTTGTATCCACAGTTAATACCCTTGGTACTTACTAGTACCAAAAGATATGTTGTGTTGGGAAAAATCTGCTGTCAAGGATCTCTACAAAGTTCTAAAGAGTGATGATGTCAGTTTAAAGACTATGGTGTGCTAAATACAAGCCATGGATTTTTCAATTACTTGTTATGCATCTGAAAATTGGATAATGAATAACGATGACTGAAGAAGAATTGATGCTTGTGAGTTGTGAGGGAGATAAGTACTAAATATCCCACGGACTGTGAAAAGAATAAGCAAATAAGTCTTGGATAAACTGCAACCAAAGTACTTCTTAAAGGCAAGGATGTGAAACTTTATCTCCTTAATCTCAAATACTTTGGGCATATTGTCAAGAAAGGTCAATATTTGGAGAAAGATATTATGCTTGAAAAGGTGTAGGGTCAGACAAGAAGAGGAAAACCCTTGATGAGATAGATTGACACAGTGACTGTATCAATGGGTTCAAGTTACATCAAAGATAGTAAAGATGGCACAGGACTCAGATCTATTATTCATAGGGTTGCTGTGAGTTGTAGTTGACTCAACAGCACCTAACAACAATAACAACATGAATCAATGTAATAGTAGAGGTGGATAGAATTAGAAATGGAAAAGATTCTCTATAAGGTCCACCTCATGAGGTTATTATCTCTAAAGAAACTATCATGGTGTGAACTATAAGATATAAATTCTGGAAGTATGTGCCTGTAAGCTTCATATCCCTTTAAAACACTCAATTTGCTGTTTATTTTCCCATCCCATGAGTATAGAGGATTCACTTGTGGTACTTAAAGTGAAATTCTGCTGGCATTCATGAGATTTTTTTACTGCGGGATTTTCCTTGCTTTAAAAAACCAATATACATTCAGTACTTCAATAGTTACTTCAAGACTTTAGCATTAAAATAAACAAACAAAAATTCTCCGAACTACTGTTAAAGATCTTGAGAATGGTCTACTTAAAACAAAACAAAACAAAACAAAACAAAACAAAAACATTTTAATCTAATATTTATATAGACTGGCTTATATAGCTCACCATAGCTATAACTTTAAAAATCCAACAGAATAAATGAAACATTTCAAGTATGCAGGCCTGTCATGTTTCCTTTTGGCTATACAAGGTCAAATAACTTGGCTTTGGTGGAAAATATTGAACATATCACAGACTCCAGAATAATTAATGCATTTGAATGATGGATTTGGCAAGGAACAATGAATATACCAAAGGCTTCAGAACAAGTACATCTTAGAAGTAGTGCAGTCAGAACGTACCTTACCACTGAGTATGGTGAGACTTCATTTCACATAATTTTGGCATGTGGTAAGGAGGGCCCAGCCCCTGGAAATATACATCATGCTTGAAAAAGTAGAGAGTCAGATTCTTAATGAGATGAATTGACTTAGTGACTGCAACAATAGACTTGCGCTAAGGAGCAATTGAGAAGATCGCACGGGACAAAGCAGTGCTTCATTCTGTTGTACATAAGAGTTACTAGGGGTCAGAACTTCCTCAATGGCACCTAATAACAACAGCAACAGCAACAATTGTTTTCTCCCATGAATTGATGAATTTTTAAAGTTGATGTCACCTTCCAATTTCTGTCCCAAGATTTTGTATCATTTGCTTTTCTTGTCCCACTCACCTTCCTTCTCCCTGCCCTTCCATATTTTCTTGTGCACTGGCACATTCTTATTAGTCTGCAGACTCAAGTTTTCCAGATTCCCAAAGAACCTCTATCCTGCCTCTCTTACACCTACCCTGTCTCCTCTTTTTCCTAGCCAAGTATCTAAAAAAGGAAAGTTACTTCTAATGCTTCTATGTCAACTGTGGAGTTTGACTCCTACCTCTGCTTATTTCAATGACTCTTGAGCTCTGGTAACTTAGCGGTAAAGAGTTGCTCTGCTAACCCAAAGGTTTGTGGTTTGAATCTACCAGCTGCTCCTCAGGAGAAAAGCAAGCTCCTCCTGTGTGATATACTGCCTCTGAAAACCTGCTGGAGAATAAGCTATGAGTCTGTTCCAACCAGACAGTATGCAACAACTTTTTAAAAAGCCAAAGATATCTCTCTAATGCCTCATTTAACGGTTTTT